CACACGTGAATCAAACAGATCACAGAAAGTTCAACTAAAAACAGACAAGAAAATAAGGAAGTGGAACAAATAACATTTTTAGAGAAAACGATGGAGTTTGTATAAGACACACTAACTTGGTTTATAAAACTCTTCTTTTTAAACTCCTCCATCACCCCCTTCCCTATCTTCAAAGGAAACTGGTAACACCACCTGCACTATACAGGCCATGAAATAACTACATAAGACTTGAGTTATCACAACAGCACTATCTAAAATCCGTCTTCACTTCCAAATGACAAGATGAAGAACAGAACAGTTGCAAGGCCACTGGTGTTCAATGACTTAAGATTGTTTATTGGACGCTATTGTGCCAAGGAAGCCATGTTACCTCTCTATAACTTCAAACTCCAAGCAGATAAACCCAACACCTAAAAGAGCATATAATCTCTATCTAGAGAACTCTCAATCTAGTTCCAATTGCTAAACCAGAATTGATCTCTAAACCCAAATACAATGTATGAATGTTCAGACATTACTATGGAGGAATGGTTTTTGCCCCTCTATGCTCATTTTGCCAGTGATTTTGTGTTTGTTTAAACTGTAATTAACGTATGATTAACACAGTCAACCCAGCCAGGCAAGGTGGCTCACATCTGTAATCCTAGCACCCTGAGAGGCAGAGGTGGGAGGATGGCTGGAGCTAAGGAGTTCGAAACCAGCCTGAGCCAGAGCGAGATCTCGTCTTTACTAAAAATAGAAAAAAAATTAGTCAGGTGTGGTAGCCAGCGCCTGTAGTTCCCAGCTACTCCGGAGGCTGAGGCAGGAGGATCGCTTGAGCCAGGAGTTGGAGGTTGCTGTAAACAAGGCTGACACCATGGCACTTGCCCAGACAACAGAATGAGACGCTGTCTCAAAATAAATAAATAAATAAATAAATAAAATAAATAAAAAATAAAATAAAATAGTCAAACCTAGCTTTAAAGGACTGCTAGGATTCTATACTAGATAACGTAATACAAAAAAAAAGAAGAAAAAAACTTAGATGAGATGATCCTAAGAATTTTCACTGAATCTTCCTAACGACTTAGCGTGGTACTCCCGATTATCCCCATAGAAAAAATGAGGAAATCAAGACCAAGTGAAGTCACCAGCCCAAGGTCACCCATAGGCAAAATCTGGTTTGAACCCAAGCCGTTTTAATTGCCAGACTTGAGACACGCACTGCCCAAGTGTTCGCTGGAGCACCCGGACCTCCCGGAGATTCTTCCCAGTAGAGAGCTGTCGGGATGTCAGGAGCGGGGAAATCCTCTACCGGGCCGTCTGGAGAGTCTCAGGGAGTATCGCTCACCCTGGGCAGGGCCCCCAGGCGGGGCGGGGGTTCGCTGGAAAGTGACACCTGCAGCCTCCGGGGGCTGCAGCCGGGAGGACGTTCGCATTTTACTTCTGTAATCGGCCTTCCTGTGCATTGCCCAAGCCCCTTCCTGTCAGGGGAACGTTCCCGGCCCCCGCCGCCTCCCTAGCCAGCTTGGGACGGAGGGTAAGCGAGGGAAGGGAGGGCCGAACCGGGACGGGAGGGTGGCGGCCCCCTGCCCGCCCGGCTCTGACAGGCCCGGGACGGGTCCCGCCCCAAGGCCGCCCGGGGACTCCCTTCGCTGCAACCCCAGCCGCGGGTGGCGGCGCTCGGCTACGGGAACCCGCCCGACCCGAGGGGGCGGCCCCGGGGCAGGGGTCCGGGCCAGGAGAGCAGAGGGGAGCGGGCCCGGCCGGTGCGACTCACCCGGCCCGCTGCAGTCAGCGCACACCTCGCTGCTCCGGAGCCGTTTCGACATGGCTCCCGCCTCCCACCTGCCGGGAACCAGAGGCCCCGGGACCGCGAAGGGAGCGGCGGCGACGCTTCCGCTCTAACGGGTCCCAGCGGCGGCGCTGGCGGCGGCGCTTCTTTCCTCAGTGCCTCGCAGCCTTGGCGCAGCACGCACGCGCGGGGAGGTACCCTTCTGCGACTGTCAGGTCACGTGACCGGAAAGGGCAGGCTGCCCGGTCACCATCTTGAGTGAGGGCAAGAGACTGGCCCAGCATCCTCTGACCTACCTTAAAACCTTGAATTTGGGTCTCTCTCTCTGGCAGAGGCTCCCCTCGTCCCAGCACTGATACCAGCAAAATCTATGACCAAGCCGGGAGCGGTGGCTCACGCCTGTAATCCTAGCACTCTGGGAGGCTGAGGCGGGCGGATTGCTCAAGGTCAGGAGTTCCAAACCAGCCTGAGCAAGAGCAAGACCCCGTCTCTACTATAAATAGAAAGAAATTCATTGGCCAACTAATATATATATAAAATTAGCCGGGCATAGTGGCACATGCCTGTAGTCTCAGCTACTCGGGAGGCTGAGGCAGAAGGATTGCTTGAGCCCAGGAGTTTGAGGTTGCTGTGAGCTAGGCTGACGCCATGGCACTCACTCCAGCCTGGTCAACAAGCGAGACTCTGTCTCAAAAAAAAAAAAAAAAAAAAAAAAATCTATGACCAGAATGCTGCAGCCACAACGTCCCTGAGGCAATCAGTGGTTAAGTCAAGTTCATTCATTCATTCCTTTATTCAACAAATATTTATAGAGCCCCTACCATGTTCCACACACTGTTGCAGACCCTGGAAAAAGAATAGTGAGCAAAGAAGGCACATTTCCGGTCCTTGTGAAGCTTACATTCTACTGGGTAGATGTACAATAACATAAGTAAAGTAAAAATATATTAGATAATTCCTTCAGGCTTCACTTTTAATCTCATCTTCAAATGAAAATAACGTGTTGCTTGCCTCTAGTCCATGATTTGTTTTTGTGTGGCCTGCTACATAAGAATGATTTTTACATTTTTAAAGTGTTGCAAGAAGAAGAAGAGAGGGAGGGAAAGAAAGAGGAAGAAGAATATACCACAAAACTTGTATGTGACCAGCAAAGCTAAATATCTACTATCTGGCTAAAGACAAATGGAATGTTATGGGGAAATGTGCAATGCCTGCTCTGTAGTAAGCCTTCAATAAACAGTAGCTCCTGTAATTATTAATATTACCATTATTTTCTAATTATTATTTTTTCATATACCTGGGATTTGAGAATAAGAATAGCTAACCTAATTTACAGGGTGGTGTGAAATAAACACAATGAAATTAGGTTAATCAGTGTGAAGGAGAAAACAGATGTGACCCTAATACTAATGAATACTTACTGTGTGTGTTACATGTAAACACAACTATGATCTCCATTCAGCAACTATTAGATGCCTATTGTAGGCTAGTAGTATTGTGAGCCAGTAGGACTTTGAGTTTAGGTATCTTAGTAAACAAAACAGATGTGGTCCCTGCCATCACGGAGTTTTCAAACGAATGAGATAGAAGAGATGTTCGATAAACATTGGATCATGAAGAGGAAGAATATTAAGTTGCACAAGTCATTTGAAAGAATAAGTGCTGGAAGAGGCCTCAGAAGCACTGTTCTTGGGTCCATCTCCCTCTTGTGATAAATGTGTGATGTGAAAATAACCACCTAATTCCCACACATTCCATAGTTACAGCCTCTGGGTGCCATCCTGTTTTGATTCCAAAACTCACAGATCTTCTGGGCTCCACACGTGTGGTGAATGAATTAGGCCAGGATTCTTGAACAGCTGTTGTTGCAGGCATCTGAAAAGTTGGATATGCAAAAGCTGAGAAGGCAGAACGAATGTTTTCAGGATGAGCTGAATAACTTCGCCCAGCTATGTGGTCTAGTTGTGAACAGCTGAGCTGAAGCAGCAGCAAAAAGCTCAAGTGGATGAGTAGCTGCTGTTGTAAGATGACTTGATTCTTCATTGGGTCAAGGAAGCATAGTGCCTGAGGTTGAAACTCAAAGGATGAACTTCATATTTGCACACTGTGGTTCAATCTGGGTCTTACATATTAGTCCTTTCAGCCAGAACCTGAGTCATAACCCAGTTTGGAGTTCAGACAGAACAGTGGCTCTCAACTGGGGTGGATTTTTCTCCCCACGAGGACATTTGGCAATGTCTGGAGATATGTTTTGGGCAGTGTTTCTGACATTGACTGGGTAGAGAAACCAGGGACACTGCTCAACATCCTACAAAGCAATGGACAGCCCTCACACAAGGAATTACATGGTTCAAAATGTGCAGAGGTGGGGGGGGGGGGGGCCGGTGGCTCCCGCCTGTAATCCTAGCACTCTGGGAGGCCAAGGCGGGCGGATTGCTCCAGGTCAGGAGTTCGAAACCAGCCTGAGCAAGAGGGAGACCCGTCTCTACTATAAATAGAAAGAAATTAATTGGCCAACTAATATATATAGAAAAACTTAGCCGGGCATGGTGGCGCATGCCTGTGGTCACAGCTACTCGGGAGGCTGACGCAGGAGGATCGCTTGAGCCCAGGAGTCTGAGGTTGCTGTGAGCTAGGCTGACGCCGGCACTCACTCTAGCCTGGGCAACAAAGCGAGACTGTCTCAAAAAAAAAAAAAAGTGCCGAGGCTGAGAAATCCTGAGCTATATTAATAACTATCCCCTTGCTATGCAAATACTATATTGGAAGTCACTTTTCCAGGACTTAAGAGTTCCTTCTTTAAAATTGTTTGGTGTTGCCCGCTTCCAAAATGGCTTCTGACCAATCGTAGAAAGATCTGCCCTGATCCAAAAAGGCAGCCGGGGAGTCAGTAGCTGGAATGGTTTGGTCCCGGCCCTTGTTGTCACCCCCTGACTGCGGGGCCAATGGAAGAGGCCCAGTTGTGGGCCGAACCACTTGGGGTGGCCGGAGCAGGGGGAATGGAGCCGGCGACAGGCAGACCGAGCTTTCCACGTCGACGTCCTCGGCCGCGGGAAGAGCTGCAGCTCTGGCCTGCGGGTTCCGCCGGGTCTCCGGGTGTGAGGCGGCGGCGGGCGGGGCCGGGCGGGCTCCGGGCCGGGCCGGGGCCGGGGCCTCGCCTCCTCCCGCCGCGGGCGCGCTGGTTCGCTCCGCGCACTTCCCGGTGTGGGGCAGTTCGGGCGGCGAGAGTCGGTTCGCGAGCTGTCAGCGCGGGCGGGAGCGCGGCGGGGCGCGGGGTGGGCGCGGCCGACCCGCTCCCGCAGCCGGCCCGCGACCCCGGACTTCCCGCGCGCCCCGCACCCTGCCCGCTGGGCCGTCCGGCCGCGCCCCGCGCCCCTCGCTAGCTCGCTCGCCTCGTTCTCTCGCTCGCCGGCCGCCGGGCGGGCGGGCCGGCGCCGGAGACCCTGCCGGGGCCGAGGTTTCTGGCAGGCGGGCGGCGAGGGCCCGGCTGCGGCCTCCTCGACATGTCCTCGGCCTGCGACGCCAGCAGCCACTTCCCGCTGCACCTCCTGGTGTGGAACAACGACTACCGGCAGCTGGAGAAGGAGCTGCGGGACCAGGTGAGGGGCGGGGCGGGCGGAGGTCGGTCCCGGGCGGGGACGGGGCAGTCGGGGGTCGTTTCGCCTTTCTGAGTCCATTTCCAGTCCTCTGCCGCCGGAGCCGCCAGGCCCCTTCACCTCTGCAGTCGTGGGACAGGAACAATAATAGGACGTGTATTGAGTGCTTACCGTGCCCGGGGCATTTTGTACCTCTTCTGTCTTAACCGTTCTAGTGACGCCGGGAGGTAGGGGCTATTATATTATTACACGTGCAGGAGAAGGAAACTGAGGCCCAGAGAGGTTACGAGCCTCGTGCGAGGACGACCCAGCTAATAAATACGAAGTCGGGGTTTTAACTGAGGCTACCTGTCCCCAGAGTGCTGTCTTCCGCTCTGGGCTCGACGACTTAAGGACAGCACACACTCCTCCTGGCTGTAAGGAAGGGCTTGGTTGGTTTGGAGTGTAGGTTCCAACTCGCCCTGTGACCTTGGGCAAGGCGTTTTTCCCTCTCTGGGCCATATAAACTTAATCTGTAGAATGAGGATGTTTACTGATGTGTGCAAAACCAGTACTTGACTATATTGATAGGTCTGGGGTGAAGCCCAGGAATCAGCATTTTAACAAGCTGCTCAGAGAGGCTGATACATAGTAAAGTTCGAGAATATCACTGGTACTCCAACTCCTTAAAATCCCTTCCTGTTTTTAAGTGCTTTGATTCTTTGTCTTTTTTTTTTCCCTTATTTTCTATCTTTTCTTTTTTTACTGCAAAAGCCTTGTGAATGATTCTTTGTCTTTTATTTATTGCTGTCTCTTTATTTTTATTTATTTATTTATTTTTGAGACAGAGTCTCGCTTTGTTGCCCAGGCTAGAGTGAGTGCCGTGGCGTCAGCCTAGCTCACAGCAACCTCAAACTCCTGGGCTCAAGCAATCCTCCTGCCTCAGCCTCCCAAGTAGCTGGGACTACAGGCATGCGCCACCATGCCTGGCTAATTTTTTCTATATATGAGTTGGCCAATTAATTTATTTCTATTTATAGTAGAGATGGGGTCTCGCTCTTGCTCGGTTCGAACTCCTGACCTGGAGCAATCCGCCTGCCTCAGCCTCCCAGAGTGCTAGGATTACAGGCATGAGCCACCGCGCCCGGCCCTATTGCTGTCTCTTTAAAGCAATGGTTCTCAGTTGGAGGTGATTTTGCTCCCCTTCCCCACACACACACACATTTGGCAATGTATGGAGACATTTTTGGTTGTTCCACGTGGGGAGTGGGTGCTACTGGGAGTGCGTAGAGGCCAGGGATGCTACTCAGCATCCTACAGTGCATAATAAAGAATTATCTGTTCCCCAAAGCAGTTGAGAAACCCTACTTTAAAAGAATCCCAATAATTCTGGGAGGTATCGATGCCCTCAAGTTACAAGCTAACAAACTTAGCAGCTAGGATAAGGATTTATAATTACACCTCAAATCTGGTATAATTGTTCTTGTTGGTTTCGTTTGTTTTATCCAGCCTGTTAAAGACCTGGTTTTTGAATGGCTCAAAATTGACCCTATAATTGTCAAGAAACTTTAGGCGTAACCACTTTAGGTGTAGTGGTTCACACCTGTAATCCTAGCACTTTCAGAAGCTGAGGCAGGAAGATCTCTTGAGGCCTGGAGTTTGAGACTACCCTGAGCCACCCAGTGAGACCCTGTCTCTACAAAAAATAGGAAAACTAGCCTGCCCTGGTCATGAACACCTGTACTTCCAGCTACTCCAGAGGCTGCGGCAGGAGGATCACTTAAGCCCAGGGTTTGAGATTGTATGAGTTATGATGCTGCCACTGTACTCTAACCTGGGCAACAGTGTGAAACCTTGTCTCAAAAAAATAAAAAGAATTCCAGGCAGGATAAAAACTTTTGTTAAGAGTCATTTTCCTTAATTAGATGACAGGGCAACTACTTAAGAGTTAAGGAGATATGACACATGTCCCCAGACTAAATGATTCACCATTCGGCATTCCAGTGTACCTGATAATTTAATTCCCTTTCTATGACTAGACGTGGCTCAGAGGAAATCCTCCATTTTACTCTTAGCTCTGTCTCTAAGGCTCACCTGGGACACTTTCAAAACGAAAATAACTAGTTCTGGTTTTTATGTGTCTGCTGCTTTTTGCATCTGCCACTTCCTCAGTGCTGTGGCTGCCCAGCTTGTGAAATGTCCAGAGAAAGTATAATGAAAGTCACAGAATGAAAATCCTATTTGACAGAGAGTTTCATCATCATTAAACAATAATACCTGCTCTTTCAATACCGATTTCTGAAAACAGCAGGCTGTCTATTCATTGGAGGTGAAAAAAGGAGTTTAAATGTTTGATAAGACAAGAATAAAGGAAGTCTTGATAGATAATCTAAAGTGTGACATAGTTGAGGTATCTCTTTTTCCTGCAAGCTGTGATAGAAGTGTTCATTAAGAGTTCTTTGTGCCTCTCACCTTGAAAACATTAAGGGCATTCGTGATTAGGGGAGTATAATTTTGCAGCAGATTTTCCTAGAGTAAATTGGTCCTTAATGCCCTTGACAGGAGGTCAGGGAAGAATATTTATACTTGCTAATTATTCGGTTTTGACTTTATTAGTTGTTATTAATACTTTAGATCATCTCACGGTATACCAGTTCCCTCTGAGAAAGAGACAGGTGAAATGTATTCATAAAGAACATCTTGATTTTGGAGGCTTAACATTTGTGACCACATATGTGACCTGTGCAGTTGCTTGAAAGGGCCCCATATTTGGTTTAATGTTTTGCCGTCACTGTCTTGAAATTCTATATGTTTGTGGGGGTTTTTTGTTTGTTTTTGAGACAGAGTCTCACTCTGCTGTCCAGGATAGAGTGCCGAGGCGTCAGCCTAGCTGGCAGCAACCTCAAACTCCTGGGCTCAAGCAATCCTTCTGCCTCAGCCTCCCTAGTAGCTGGGACTACAGCCCTGCAGATTATGTAACTAGTTCAGGGTCAAAAGTGGATAATTGATGTCATTTAAATATGGGGCAGGGCCGGGTGCGGAGGCTCACGCCTGTAATCCTAGCACTCTGAGAGGCCGAGGCGGGTAGATTGCTAAAGGTCAGGAGTTCGAAACCAGCCTGAGCAAGAGCGAGACCCCCTTCTCTACTAAAAATAGAAAGAAATTAATTGGCCAGGCATGGTGGTACATGCCTGTAGTCCCAAGCTATTCGGGAGGCTGAGGCAGCAGGATCACTTAAGCCCAGGAGTTTGAGGTTGCTGTGAGCTAGGCTGATGCCGGGGCACTCTAGCCGGGGCAACAGAGTGAGACTCTGTATCAAAAAAAAAAAAAAAAAAATACAGGGCAGGAAATATTTTGTTGCACTCACATTTACTGAGATCCTCTGTTGATTATGAAATAGCCGCTCACCTCTGTGGCACCGGGGCAGTTGGGTTTAATGGTCAGCAGTAACGCTGATTAACTCGTGAGCTAGGGCATGTTACTTACCCCCTCGGAATTGTGTCTTCCTCGGTATAAAGGGGGAGAGTAACACCAAACGATTAGTATTTGACCAGGCGCTGTACTGAAGCGTATTATGTGCAGTCTTAGAGATTTAATGATTTAATTGTCACACCAGTCCTCTGGGGTGAGTGCTACTATGATTCCCATCTTACAGGTGAGAAAACCAAGGTGAAGAAAGGGTCACTTGTGTGCATAGCCAGTGGCTGAGATAGGATTGCAACCTGCAAAGTTGGACTCTGTCCAAATCCTATATTCTTAACCCTTCCACCACACATCTTTGAGTAAAAATGCCTCCATTTGAGGATTGTGGAGAATAAATAAGGAAGACAGTGGACCCGAAAGTGCAGGCACACGGCCATGGGAGCAGCTGCTGCTATTATTATTATAATCATTTATAAACCTGGGAATCACACTTCTTTTATGTATGTTCCAATTTTTCTGCAAGGAACACATAGTGGTTGCACAATTAAAAACAAAAAGTTGCTGTCACCCCAGCCATAGTGCAGGCTGTGGCCCTTAATGTTTTGTTTGCCAGTGAGTTTCTGCTGTCACACAAGTGAGACTCAAAGCATACACGCTGATAGCTGTAAGATTTTTATTTTGCTCCAGGAACAGCAGCACAAAAAGAATCAAGTTTATCCCATGAAGAGGATAAGCACGTGTTTCTCAATGTGCGTGAACCAGCCCATCCCCACAGCCATGCTGATAGCCAGTGTTTGTGTCACTTTGCCAACCAAGAGATTGTTTCAGGCCTTCATTTGCTCGGCAGAGGCATTTAATAAAGTGCCTCTTAACCCATCAGCTCTTTCATGTTCGGTGAGGCCTTGAAGTTGGTTGTTGAAATTGAAACTGTTTGTGCTTTGGTTATGTCATTTGTCACTTAGCTAGAGAGGTCTGTTAAACTCCTTTGGCCTTCTTACTGACGCTGGGAAAATGACTGAACACTTAAGCCGGTGCATGCAGTGGTGAGTCAGTTCACCGTAGACAGGGGAGGGAAACCCCTGGGACAGAGTGAGGTGGGGGGTGGCCTATGAGGCCTGCCTCTAGAGCCAACCCCAACCTACCATAGGAAGCCAGCAAGTGAAAGCACAGCACGCAGGCAAGAGGAAGAGGACATTCCGAGCAGTGGCAACACCTGGAGCCTGACGCCACCTGGGGTTCTCACTCCAGCCTGGGGCAGGCCAGCAGAGGCCACGGGGCACATGTTTAAGTGGGTCCCCATTGGCTGGAGGTCTGCGCATGAGCCAGGGGCTGAGTGTCCAAGATGAGCAGCCTGGAGCCTGCTCCCAGAGTGCTTCCCCCCCCCACCATTGGGATTTCAGCTCAGCTTAGGAAACCTGCTTCTAAATACCTTTTCCCACCTGACTTGGAGTGGGGGGCCACAGCCGCAGAGGACCAGGGCATCTGAGAGTGAAGAGGAGTGAGGGTGGTCGACTCTGTTGAGAGAAAGAGGGGCTAGTTAGCTGGAGGGCCCCGAAAGAGGACAGTGGTAGTTTGGGAAGCCCTTACTGTGTGCTAAGTAC